ATGCGTTCCCACCCTTTGGGGGGTTTATTTATTTATTTTGATTTATATCCCACCATCCCCACAGGCGGGCTCAGGGTGGGTAAGAACAATGTAAAATACAACACAGTTAAACCACAGGGTACTGGCCAAAATAGCAACCAACCAAACCTCCTGTGACCTTCTCGCCCATTTTGGCCATGGAGAGTATGGTTTCCAAATCTGTGGAGACTCTCCAAAGGTATACACAGGCTCTTACCTCCAGCCCATGATCTTCTTCACCTAGTCCCTGTATTGTACCCAGAAATCTGGTCCTTGCATCTGTCAGCTTGGCTGATTCTGCTTTATGTTTTTTTACCAGAGGGCTATAGATGTTATGATTGCCTGTAGAAGACCCTCTACATGTAAATCCTATGCTGCTAAGGGGAGAAAATTCTCAGAATAGGCAAAACAGCAAGGACTTGACCCTGTTAATTGTGTTGCCAAAAATGTGATTAGTTATTACTTATTACTATTAAAGGACAGAGGTCTAGCCTCGTCTTCTGTTAAGGTTCACCTACCCGCCATTTTGGCTTTTCATAATGCTATTGGTACATCTTCAGTAGTTTCTGCTCCAGAATCCCAGAAATTCCTTAAGGGCTTATATAATTTGTACCCTCCCTCTGTCTACCCTATCTTGTATTGGAGTTTATCTCTTGTCTTATCTGAATTAGTGCACAAACCTTTTGAGTCTATGGCCACATGTGAGTTGTCATTTCTTTCCTTTAAGACCTCCTTCCTATAGTGGGAGAGTTGAGCGCTTTAAGACGTGTCCCGCCCTTTACACATTTCATGTGGACAAGGTGGTCCTGAAGCCTAGCCTGGACTTTTTGCCCAAAGTGGTTTCTAGAGTTCATATCAACCAGGATATAGTTCTGCCAGTTTTATTTCCTTCCACTACTGAACAAACTCTGCACACACGAGATGTCAGATGAACACTCCACTTTTATTTAAAATGTACAGAACAGTTTAGAAAGGACAAAGACCATTTTATTTGCTTCAAAGGGGTTAATAAAGGAGGAGCTGAATTGCCGTGACCCATTGATATTAGAGCACATCCCATCAGAGCACAAGCTTCGTCAGCATCCTTTCTGACCTTGTTGTCACTAGATGATGTCTACAAAGCATCTACCTGGTCTATGCCATCCAGCTTCGTTCAGCACTACTCCATGGATGTGGATGCTCAAAAGGAGGCATATGTTGGGAAAGCAGTTCTTCAGTCTATCTTCTGCTAATCAGCCCACAGCCGCCTCCTTGGTGAGTGCGTTTGCTAGTCTCCCATGTGGAACTGCACAGAAGCCAAGATGATGAAAATGGGATTACTTTTACCTGTAACAGTTGTTCATCAAGTGGTCTTCTGTGCAGGCACACATCCTTCTTTTCCCTGCTGTGAGCCGCATATCGTTTCATGTCAATTTTAGTACTCACGGCGGCAAAGGGAGAACTGAGGGAGGAGTGCTCGCCCTGTCACGTGACCCTTTGGGCTGAAAAAGGGATACACTGAAGATGGAGGTGTGGGGGAGCACTCTACTTTCTAGATCTAGAGAGATCTTTTGTAAAGCTTGTTAGCTCTTCCGCAGCTGGCCTGTGACTGTGCAGTCCCCACGTGTGCCTGCACAGAAGACCACTCGATGATCAACGGTTGTAGGTAAGAGCAATCCCATTTTCTACTGCAGACCAATGTGGCTCACCTCTGAAACTATAAAAAAGGGGGAACCTACAAGAAACTTGTGGAAGTGGCCATCCCTTTGTTTCCTCCCCTCTCACCTTTGTTTCCTCCCCTCTCCTCCTACTTCTCTGTCTTTCACTCTTTTCCCTTCTGCCACTCCTTCTCTTAGTCCTTCACCCATGCCTGTCACTTACTTTCTCTTTCTGTCTCCCTCATCCCATTCTCTGTTTTTGCCCCCCACCTTGTCACTCTCTCCAGTTCTCCCTTTCCCTCTCTTATCTTCCTCTCAACCCTTGCCAATAACAGCACACTGCAGCTCCCAGTGCAGCACACCATCATTGGTGTCAGGCCTGGTGTCACTGGGCACATTGCAGCTTTCCCCTCCAAATTCCTGGTCACCTCCCCCCCCCCCAACCATTGTCACTGCCTGGAGGAGGTATGTGCCAGTTTGGTGTAGTGGTTAAGTGTGCGGACTCTAATCTGGGAGAACTGGGTGTGATTCCCCACTCCTCCACTTGCAGCTGCTGGAGGACCCTGGGCAAGCCATAGTTCTGTCAGAGCTGTCTTCTCAAGGACAATTCTGGAAAGAGCTCTCTCAGCTCCACCTACCTCACAGGGTATCTGTTGTGGGGAGGGGAAGGGAAAGGAGTTTGTAAGCCACTCTGAGACTCCTCTGAGTAGTGAAGGGCGGGGTATCAATCCAATCTCCTCCTCCTTCATATGTGCAGAGAACACTCTTGGGGGGGGGGGCTTTAAGCCCCCAGTGTATTTTTAAAATGTTTTTAGATTTTTCTGCAAACCTGAGGGGTCCCCCAAGTTTGGACAGAAATCTCCTTTCTGTCATTGTGTGCCCAATCCATGGATTTAGATCTCTGCAGATTGGCTCATAGAGGACTATTAGATATATAGATGTAGTTCTGTGTGGGCCTTGCAGTGGTCCAGGATACTGATCAGGTCCATACCTGCTTAGCTTCAGCAGAAATGCAGTATTAGGTGCTCCCATATCGCTCACTAGCCAGTTTGGGGTACATTTTATATGGCCCAATGAACAAGTCTGAATAAGAAGTAGCTGCCTGTGTAGAAGAGGGAGAAGCTAATATGCCCACATACGATGATATAAATCCTGTATGGGATTGTAAGCCTGGTAAGAGACTTTATTTATTTCATTCTATTTATACCCTGCCCTCCCTACCAAGGCAGGCTCAGGGCGGATTTCTTTTCTGGTCTGTAGTCCTATCTATGCTGCTTGATTTACAGCATAAGGTTCCCAATTTATGGAAAAGCAAACACAAAGCAGCCATACATTGATAAGTTTAAGGCCGTAGAGATAAAACTTGGCAAGACTTATTCCAAGAGGAGAGAATGCTTATTTTTTCTATGTGTTTGACACAGTTGTATATCCTAATTTGGAATGCATGTGTCAGTCTCCGGGTTACACATTTAAATTAAGTATGTGAATTTGCAGGAAGCTGGCAGTGAACTCAGAGAACTGTGATTAGCAAATACGCTTGATTGGTTAGCATGCTCTTGAATAAGAAATACAGACCTCCTATGTGAACTGTTTATTCAAAATCTACCTTTATCTTGGTACCTGGGGCATAACTACTTAATCTGATTCTCTCCTGAAACTAAAATGAACTACATAGACGGGCCGGGAGGGGTGGGTGGGTGACTTTCACTGCCCTGACCTCTTTGGAAGAAGGGTGGGATAAAAACATGATAAATAAGTTCTTTCCCCATTTATTCCTGCCTGCCCTTCCTTTGTTGTCTCTTTTATCAAATTTTAGATTGTAATGTCCTTGGGGCTGCTGGATGACCTTGGGCAAGCCATAGTTCTGTCAGAGCTGTCCTTGAAAAAGAACAGTTTCTGTCAGAGCTTTCTCAGCCCCACCTACCTCACAGGTGTCTGTTGTGGGGAGGGGAAGGGAAAGGAGTTTGTAAGTCGCTCTGCAACTCCTTCGGGTAGTGAAGGGTGGGGTATAAATCCAATCTCTTCTCTTCTTCTTATATTCATATTGTATTTGTCCAGTCTAAACGCCATAGATCTGAACTGAGGTAAGCAGTGGTAGTGACTGTCTACTTACAATGCAACATATATAATTTCTTCAAAAAACCCCCTCCAAAAAAAACCAGTTAACAATTACACTAAATGGCTGTCTAAATTTGAATCTGTTAACTCCACAGTATGGAATGATTCAATGTCCAGTTCCAGTATCATCTGGTTCTGAAATGTGGCTCAGAAGTACATGATTCCTTGAAGCCTCTGCCGGTCTGTTTTGTGTTCTGTTGTCATTAGACGTTTAGCACTTTACTACGTGTTCTTCTTGAGTCAGTACAAAAAGAGACAGTCACAGACCTAAAAAATAGCCAAGTAATGCACTTATTTTGGAGATCAGAAAGCTTGAGACGCCATAATGCATTTATACCCGATGTGAAATTTGCAGTGATCAAAGACTGTGGTTTGGCTAGAATTGATTCCCAGTTAAGTTATGGTATCTAGGAATAATAGGAAAATCTGCTGATAGAGGAAAGGAAAGCTCGCTGGTCTCTGTGTCTATGAGTCCACAGAGGTCCTGCAATGTTGGGATTAGAATTTTCCAGGGTTGCAAATTGCAGCTGCAGGGAGGGGAGTAGGTGAAAGAGCTGGATGATTTTCATGTACTTTTACTCTGTAGAGATAACATTAATCATTACAATGAATTTAGTATATACATGTATGTTTGTGAGAAGATATTTACTAGACCCCTCTCACACTACATTTGATTTTATATATAGTTTTTTTGTCAAGTTATAACTGTATGTGAAGTTTAAATGGGGAGACTGGAGCTGCAATTTTATTTGTACTTACCTGGGAGAAAGAATCACTGAATAGGATTTACTTCCTGGGGCAGGGGGCATTCACAGGATTGGGCTCTGTAGAGATCTTCTGTATAAGAAAATGGTTTATGTGGGATGCACATTCAAAGAACTAGCAGTATTGCATTCCAGACTACCTAGTTGTTTGAGAGAGCTTTGAAAACAACTTGTTCATGTAGGTTAGTGGGGAGCCTCTGCATGGCAGTGTATTGTTTTAAAATATGTGTGTGGAGAGTGTAAGAGGAAACCTGTCTGGTATGGAGTGTCTTCTGATCCAGCCATACCAGAACAACCCTGCATTGGTTGGATGTAAGAGATGTTAACGTTATTTTGCTCCAGAGCTGTGCCTCTGGATATGGCAAGGGTGGGGTTGACTCAGTGGGGTTCTTAGCACGAGGTTTCTTGGTATTTTTAGGGGCCTAACTTCTTTTCCTCCTTTGTCTACAGACAGATCCTTCATCATGGTGGGTGAAAGGAGGAATGGAAATGTGCTGGTGCATGTTGGACCCAAGTTACAGGCCTATCCTGAGGAGCTAATCCGGCAGCGTCGGGGCCATGATGGACGCACTGAATACCTGATTCGTTGGACCATCCTGAGCTTGGATGATAGTACAGGGAACAGCACAAATGCTGTTTCTGAGAACAAAACAGAGAATATTCTGATGTGGATGTCAGCTGAAGAAGTTTATGCCAACTGTCCCACACTACTGGGCAAAAGGAAACCAGAAGGGCAGCGGGTGAAAGAGGAGAAGGCGCCTAGCACGTACCCATCTGATGTGACGCTGGATGAGGCCTCTCTTTTGGAAATGAAGGCTGATGTCAGGAACTTGGTGCAGCGGGCTGCTCGGCAGATGGCACGTACAACAGGCCCAGAGTCCTCCATCCTGAATACTATCCATGTACTCAGTGCCTATGCCAGTATTGGCTCACTGACAGGTGTCTTTAAGGAGACAGGCGCCCTGGATCTGTTGATGAAGATGCTGTGTAATGAAGAGAAGCAGATCCGTCGCAGTGCTGGCAAGATGCTGAGGGCTCTGGCTTCACACGATGCAGGTGAGATTGCATGGCCAGAAACTCCAGGGTGAAATCTGAGCTGCTCCTTGGCTAGCAGTTTGAATACGTCAGGAAAGTGAAATGCTCTAATAGTTGACATCTGCTTATGGCTCTTTTCCCCTCTGCTGATGGTATATGGTATTTCTGGATGCATTTCTCAGATATTGAAATAAAGCTGCATCCTGAAATGTCATAAGATTGATCAGGAGAAGCGAGGAGAGTTTTGATTCTAAAGTCAGCAAAGATGTCAATACTTTTTTAAAGCGGTAGATTAAACATTCTCCAGAGGCACTAGAGTGAAAGCGTACAGTTGTTCATTAGAGCATTGTCTTAGTTTTATCCTGACACCTTAGCAAGCTAGATTGTTATTGTCCCTATTTGTTAATAGGAATTAAGGCTGAAATATTTTACTTGTCTGCAATAATCCCAAATTTAAGAGGCACCCCTTCTAGAGTAGACCAGTGATCCATGTAGTCCAGCATCCTCTGGCTGATCAGTTGTCTGGTGGGGCCAACAACCAAAGCATAGAAGCCTCCTTGGTTATTTCATCTGGGTTTCTGTGTCCTGCTTAACTTTTCTAGAGAATGTGTTCCTCTAGTGGCTTTTTCTTATCCTGGATAAAAGCATAGTGTGTTTATATGTAAAGTATAGGCGTAATGACATCTGGTTTTTTTTTAGGGGAGAACCAAGATTTTGAAAACTTCCACAGAACCTTATTTTTGCACTTGGGAAGTTCACTTTTCGAATTAAGTGATCCCATGTTCATCAAAATCCCTTAGAATTTTTCTCTGGGTTTTTGAGTTGGTTTACTCTAGCGTTCATTTTCTTTAGGACTTGGACTGGGCCTGAAGGTTTATCTGTCGTCAGACTGAGGTTTCCTCTTGCCCTTTTCCCAGGGTTATTCTACAGGAATGGCCACCTGTAAGGTTCTCACATGATCTATCGCTTTCCTTGTGGGCTCTTGTACAGGAATCAGAAAAGGGTGTTGTTTGCCTTGGGGTAGTGGTCTTCAACTGCATATAAGGCACTTTAAAAATTTAACCTTACTATTAATATCTTAGTATTTCAAATACTTTTGGTCAAAACAATATTTCTCTACTAGGGTGTGCTTTGATGCTTGCTTGCTATTCCAGAAACAATTTGTAAGCTTGTGGGAGGGCAAATGTCTCATGCTTGGGAAGACAAACCATTAGATTTTCTGATTTGGCTCTAGTGTGGTTTGGACTGAAGTAGTTTAGTTTTTGTTCTGGTCAAGTAAAGGCTTGGTAACTGATTCGATGCATGCAGTTCCAGTTCATATGCAGACAATTAAGTGTTAAACACATGATGCTGACATTTTTATTTGATAAAATGATGAATCAAAAGCATTTAAATATGATATGTTAAATGATGCAGAAGCTACCTACTCTGGAGCACGCTTAGGGTGATAGGCAGGAGTACATTAGTCTAGTCTACATTGTGTCTTTACCAACGCAACTTTCTGAACCATTTCGTTACAATACAGTCCTATTGACCAGAGCAAAAAAGCCCCTTGGGTAATTCTGTTTCGCATAGTTTGCAGAAGACTAGGAGAATGGGAGCCTTCCTAACCTCATCAGGGAGATCATTCCACATACTGTGGGGCGCAACGGAGAATGAGCAAGTATGGAGGGGTTATTGGTTTTGCCTTTTCGCAGGCAGAAGGCCCTGCTGATATGAGCGGAGCTATCATGGAGGAGCATAGAGAGAGGGGCAGTCCTGCAGATATGCAGGACCAAGGCCATGAAGGGCTTTGTATGTAATAGCTAACTATGACTATTGGCCTGTCCCAGCTCAACTGTTTAACCAGCCATAGTTACCTTGGCTTCATTGAACCAGAATCTGAAATTCTACAACATTAAACCATAATTCAGAGTAACTATAAAGGTAATGGTTCCCTTGCTCGAAAGCCAGTCGAATCCGACTCTAGGGTTGTGGTTCTCATCTCAGTTTCAAAGCCGAAGAGCCAGCACTGTCTGAAGACGTTTCCGTGGTCATATGGCCGGCATGACTAAACACCAAGGCGCACGGAATGCTGTTACCTTCCCACTGAAGTGGTACCTATTTATCTACTTGCAATTTCTTGCTTTCGAACTGCTAGGTTGGCAGGAGCTGGAACTAGAGATGGGAGCTCACTCCATCATGCGGCACCCGGGTCTCGAACTGCTGAACTACCGACCTTTCACAGCCTGCAGTTCAGCATCTTAACCACTTGAGCCACCGCAGCTCCTTCAGAGTAACTATGGCTGCTCCTTAACTATGCTTTCACATTGTATGAATGGGGAATCCTGGTTTAATCGTCACACACCCTGGGTTTACAGAGATGGCAGGCAGGACCTACTTAGAATCAAAACTGAATGCATCTTACTAGGAGTCCACCATCCGTACTTCTCTTACGAGTGCAGGAATGCTTTTTTTATGCTGACTTGTTCCATCTTGGGGATGGTTGTAGGCCTTCTGCCACTTCAATAAGAGAGGCATAAAATTCCCAGAAATTTTGAAACCATGGGGAAAAACCTTTTTGGAGGGGTCTTTGGTGCAAAATAGGAATACAGGCAATACTTATTTTCCTATCTAACCTACATGTATTTATTCCTTTTAACAATATAAACGGCATCATTTGTAATTTAGTACATGAAATTTTACTGTTGCGCATATTTATGACATTTAAAAGTATAAATTCCTTTGTTTTTCTACAAGCAGAATTACAAATATACCCAGTACTTGGGAGAGAGCTGCAGCCTATGGCACCTTATGCTACCTCAGCATGTGTCTCTTAATTTTTTCCACCTGTGAGGTAGGAGAAAAAAAGAGAGAGCTGAAATTAGAAAATAAATCTCATAGTAAGCAAAGGAAAGTAATATTTGGATGGGAAGTCTCATACAGTTGCAATAGTCATACAGTCATCAGCAGCTTAGGATATGAAGTTAAACATTATGACATTGGAAACACTGAACTTTTTGATGTGTAATAACAATGTAGGACCCCTAGGAAACATGCTGGAAAATTCCCTCACTGGTCCCAGCTTTCTCCCCTGGCTTCTGATTCCCCTCCTGCCACCTTTCTCTACCCTTTCCTCCCATTCTTACTTTGTCCTCCCATCTTTTTCCTTCCACACACTACTTCTACTTCCCCGTGCCCTCCCGCTGCCCCTGTTTTCTCAGTCTTATCTCCCTGCTTCATGCCCCTGTCTTCACTGCTCTGCCTACCGTCCTCCTTGAGGAGGGTGCTCTTGTTGCCATTTCAGCTCAACCCTTAGGTGGATCACAGGCAGACCTCTGATGGTGGAGGAGGGAGAACGGACAACGCTGCCTCTTCTGCACCCGCCCAGCTGATATTCAGCTCTCGGCCTCTGATGCTGCCATTATGCAGAGTGACTTCCCACCTGAGAGAAAGATGGCTCCAACAGTAGAGTCAAAGATGCAGAGAAACTCTCCTCTGAGGTGATTTTTCATGCACAAACCCACCCACCCACTCCATTTACTGCAAATGGGTAGCCAGGTTATCAAAATAAGACAAAAGTCAAATGACATCTTAAAGACTAACATTTATTTCACTGAGGTATAAATAATGCATCAACACCCTCCCTCCCTTAGCTCAGCTGATCTGGCCTCATGGATCCATACTGTGACTACCTTGAGGTTAGACTATTGTAATGCACTCTACATGGGTCTGCTCTTAAAAGTCAGCTCAGAAACTTTGACTGCTACAGAACACAACCTCCCCAGTTCATGTTAAGCATCAGGCAGAACAACTATTCTGTAGTTACTCCATTGGTTATGATGATCATTTACTGGCTTCAATTCAAAGTGCTAGCTGTTAATATTTTCCAGTGCCTTAATAGTCAGTTTTCCTGCTATGCTGTGCCAGGACAGCTTCACTCGTCTGAGAAAAGCCTTTTGTAGGTACCACCCTACAAATAGCTAAGATCGGCAACTGCCCGTTCTCAAGCATTCTGTGTGCTGGCTCCTACCCTGTGCAGTGGCCTGCCTGAGAAGAGCAGGAGGGCTCCTGCACTTCCATCATTCCACAGAATCTGCAGGACAGTAATGTCCAGGATGGCATTTTATGAAGAGATTAGAACTGTAGCACAATGGAAGAATCCAGAAAGGGCACCTTTATAATGAAACAGTCTATTGCAACAACTATTCTAAACATTATCCTGCTTGTACTGCTATGATGGATCCCTTCCACTTCCCTTCCTCAGAGGCTAGATATTCCGCCATTTTTCTGGCCCTTCACTGACTGAGCAGCCCAGGAACAAGTTTCTGTGTTCTCTTCTCCCCTGAAAAAATCTTGGCTGTCCCAAGCTGTCAGTAAGGTATATTTTGGCTATTTGCTCAGCCTAGGAACCTGAGTGAAAGGATAGGATCGCCCTTTAACTTCAACCCTTGAAAATGGCACTTGAGATGCTTTTTAAATTCAAAAATAAGAAAAGGTTTTATTTAACATCAAAGGGAAAGGTCAGTTGAAATCAGGGGTTGAAATTACTGAGGTAAAACTAGTACAAGCACAGACTTTTGTTCTTATATATCAGGCTAATGAGAGGTTCTTAAATTATTCACAGTTACTTAGATCTTTGAGAGGCTTTTGTTCCAGTGTTTTTCCAAACACTCTAATTAACTTTATTTGAGTAATAGCTGACTCTTGGTGCCCAGAAGGCTGGTACTCTCTTCCCAGTACTCAAACTTCTTTTCTTGGAACATTAATACTCTTCTTGAGTTGTTCACTGACTTTTAAGGTATCTACAGGCAGTTTCTAATTACACTAGACCAGGGAATTCTGTACTCCTCAGAGATAACTTTCCTTGTTTGGGTAGAGAATCTTCTTGTTCTAGAAGATCTATCCTCTTTCCTTTGGCCCAAATAGGAGTCTTCTCTATGATCTAAACTTCCTTGCCGAACTCTCCCCCAGTTCTCTGTCTGTGTTCAAACTGCCCTCAGCTAATGCTGAATTCAGATTGCATTCAGTCAAGGTAGCAC